AATCGCCCAAAATCTCGATTTTTCCTTACAAGATTACGCCCTTATTTCAAACCTTTAGCCACCTGCAACACCCCCTTCTTTGTTTTCACGAAGCCAGGATTTATTATTTAATCCTTTGGTGAACACAGCTTGCGAGAATATATGGGCACCAGGACTTTTCGAATTTTCCATACAGTTCAGTGATGTTTGGTGCCGTTTTACTTGCGAAAAAAAAATTAAATGGAAAATCTGAGATAGAGGATCGATAGTTTGGCATTTCGACTTATCAGTGGACTTTTCAAAATAAATATAAAAAAATTATCCTCAATTCGACAGACTGCTTTAGAAACATCCCCATTTTGCTTGACAAAGGTATTATGCCGAAACGACCCATCGGACCGGACCCAAATTTGGGCTCAATGAAGCCTGCCTTATCTACTATGTATGTGTAAAAAATTAATTGTCTAGCATGAAAATTAAAAAAGTTAGGATTTTTTTACGAAAATCTCTTTTTTGGGGGGAAAAAATCAATTCTCGAAGACTAAAAGACCTACAGGGTTGTATGATGGCTCATTTTAAAGCTTGTTCAATGCTCTAAAACTATTGCCACAGTAGCAAAACCATCCGATCCTTAATTTTCGAAATACAGTGAAATAGACAAAAAAAAAAGCCCTATTTTTGAACTAAATATTGTTTATAAAATCCCCTAGAAGTAATTAGATGTTGCATTTTTGGTTTTTAGCATCTATCCTTAACAATACTGCATCGATAGTTTGCTGTTAAATTTTATGTTACGATAAAATTTATCTGCCCTGGCCGCATTCCATGAATAACTATTACTTGAAAAAAATAAAAATATATTAAAAAGTACTTACCACGAGGGGGTTCGAAATTCAAACTCAAATGAAACGGTAATCACGAGACTTTTTATTTAATTTTTTTCGGTAAGCAATGGATTATTGCCTTACGCAACTTTATTTCATTAAAATAATGCCTGTATTGAGGAAGATGGGTGCCCTCCCCGGCCACAGTCGACCTTTCAGGGCAACGGCAAGATTCAAAAAGGGACGAAGAAAAGACAAGCTAAATAGTCAGAGCTTTCCCTTAAGAATAGCCAGCGGAAAGTGTTAGTATTAACTGGTATTTCAAATTCAAACGAAAATCGTGCCCTCTAGTTTGATAATTTGCTATTGTTAATGGCGACAGATATCTTCTCTTGTTGTTTTTAATGCCAGTCACCAGACTGTCAACATTAAAGGTATCAATAATAAGGTAAGAAACATATAAAACAATACTTGAAAGAAAAAGGAACAGTCAGTAGCATTTCACATGCTACAGATTTTCTGATGTGGAAGATGTGGAAGATTAAGACGCTGGGCTGCTTCTTCTGTTATAAACGCAGATTGTGGTCCTTGATCAATGAGGACTCGTAAATATTGGGTGGTGCTAGCTGTTGCTACTTCAACTAATGCTGTGGCAAGCAGAACATTCTCTTCATGGTCTTTTTTACGTGATAATTCGAGGAATTTTGCCTTTGATCATTTCTTCTGAAGTTGTTGCGTGTTTGGCTATTTTCATTTTGATTTGAGGTTCTTTGATCAGTTCTTCTTAATGTCTGATGTCCTGAGTTGTTGAAGTTTTGTTGATTGTTTTCATTATGTAGGATCGTATGATGATGCTTCCTGCAGACATTGCAAGTTACACTGCTGCGACATCCAATACGTTTTTCGTGATTGAGACAGTTCACGCAAAGGTTTATTTTCTGAACAAAGCGATTTCTTTCTTCTACCGACAATCTTCTAAAGGCTGGGCAGTGATTTATCGCATGATCACAATATTAGTAAGCTGAGTTGTTTCTTCTACTTGGGCTTGTTGCTTCCAGAGATTGAAATCTTCTTTTAAGAAATTCCATGAATTGTTGGTAGGCTTGAATTTTGTGTGGTTCTGTTATTGTTTGTTCATACATCTTGTTGGTTTCGGAATCCCATTTCCGACTGATTATTCTGATGATGATTGGACCCCATGACTGTGTGCTTACTACTATATTTTCTAGCCCACGAGTACATTCTTTGGTGATGTCTTGCAAGAGCTTTAATTTTTTAACGTTTCCGGTGGAGAGGTTTGGAAGGTCTGATAAATTGTCTATCAGTTTCGATGCTAATGGTCGTTTGTTTTCATATTTAATCTGGAGAAAGTCCCATGCTGTCTCGTAGTTGTTTTCAGTGGTTGTCAGATGCTGGATGAGTCTTGCAGCTTCTCCTCGAACATGTGTTTTGAGTAATTGTATCTTCTTTGCCTTGGAAAAATGTATGTTGTCGTGGACTACTCGCAAAAATACATCATGGAAGGAGCCCCAGTTCTCGTAGCTTCCATGAAATGTTGGAATGGTTTTTTGTGGTGACGCAAGATGTCTTACAGGCCACATTGATTGGGTCTGTGGTAGTTGCGACTGACATGCTTCGATTGTTTCCGTTGACAATTTTTCCAACGTGTCTTCATACTTCATCCGATACTCATGAAACTTATCATCTCTGAAGTAGGCACCGGTGAATGATTTTTCATGAATTATTATTTCTTCGTGCAATTCTTGAATAGCTTTCCATTGTTTTACTAGCTTTTTCTGTTGTGATTCATACATTAATCTTGAATTTGATTCAGTTTGATCTTGGTTGATTTGGTCGATTGTTCTATCCAATTTCTCACACTTAAGATTTTGTTTCTTCAAGAGTAAGAGTGGTGGATTATTTTGTAATTCATCATTGATCATTTCAGGGTACTTTTTGCAAGTCTCATACCTCTCTTTTATTTGTTGCAGGTTTTTTTTAGTGAAGTAGGTTTGGTTCATTGAACTTGTTTAGTTCATGATCATTTTCTTAAACTGCATCCCAAAGATCTTTTTGATTTTCCATCTTTTTCACAGTTGGTGTAAAGGTGCATGATCCTTTTTCCCTAATTCTTCTTGCTGAGCAGCACGCAAGTTTATTTTTTCCGCCATTGTTCTGTTGATCTTGAAATGGGCTTAGTTGTACCTCTGGAACCGCTATTGGTGGGACCTCTGGATATGTGGTAGACCGCTGTTGGGCGTGATTGAACCTCTAGGAGGGCTTTTAGTGGGACTTCCGGGTGGTTGACCTGTTGAGTGTTGTTCAACCTTTGGGACCGCTGTTGGGCTTGGTTGAACCTCTGGGACCGCTGTTGGTGGGACCTCTGGGACTCTGGTTGATGGCTGCTTGGTTTGGTTGGACCTCTGGGACCGCTGTTGGTGGGACCTCTGGGACTCTGGTTGATGGCTACTTGCTTTGGTTGGACCTCTGAGACGTGGTTGCTCGCTGTTGGGCTTGGTGGGACCTCTGGGACCGTGGTTGACAGCTGCTCAGCTTGGTTGACCTGTGGATTGCTACTGGTGGGACCTCTAGGAATCTGGTTGATAGCTGCTTGTTTAGTTGGACTTCTGGGACCGCTGTTGGTGGGACCTCTGGGATTGTGACTGATATATACTCAGCTTGGTTGGACCTGTGAATCGCTACTGGTGGGACATCTAGATCGTTCTAACTTTTTGCTTGAAGGGCCATGTACGCTCCAGGAGACTCTCCTTCTCTGGATGGTAATTTCTGCTTGATTCTGATGGTTTCGGATAAAAGAACAGAAGGGCCTTAGTACCAGACAGGACTTAAAGTCACGGCACTCGCACTAGGGCTTAAGATAGGTAACTTACAACCAGACTAAAGCAGTTGCTGTAAGTTGGAAAGAAGATCCTAGCCAGACAAAGCACTTGCTATAAGGGTTAAGTTAAAAACCTGTAACCAGACAAAGCATCTGCTACAGGTTTAGGGAAGAGCCGAATGTAACCAGGCAGAGAACCTGCTACAATAATCCTAAAGTGAAAGTAATTGGTATTGTGTTATTGCGCAGTCTCACGAATCTACTAGCGTTGCTAGGCCAATAGTGACTTGGGCAGCAATTTAAGTAAGAGAAACAACAATAAGTTTGAATCTAATTTTATTGATGAAATTGATCGCGTCTTATATACAATAAATGCTGATTTTGCAAATACCAATGATCGTCATTTGCAATAATAAAAAGTAGGTTGCTTATAATTAATTAAATCTAATATGTACATACAGTGTGGTAAAAATATATAAAAATAAATATTCCAATTTGGATAAATGGACACTGAAGCTTCTAACAAATGGAAATATTCTTATTGCCGAATACCACTCGCGATAAAATTTTCCCTGGAAAAATCTTTCATTTTATTGACTCACATCAGTTTTGCTCGTGCGGCATTAATTCAAAAATAACTGCCTGAATAAATTTCAATGCCAAAATGTTACCATTAAGTCGTGTCATACGAAAACATTCATAATATAGGGGTCTCCTCCGAGAGTACGTTCGATTTGTGAAGTTATTAATGACGATTCACGTATGTTTTATACGTAGGTAGATGTTATATACAAATGAGAGACGTTCTACAATGGATCAAAAACGGTTAGACATATCTACCATTTTTTAAGACGAACGAGTCTACAGAGAGGCATCTGAGTAATCCTCTACCAACTACCAACTAAATTCACCTACTTGTCGCCACTTAATATAAGGATATTAATTTAATCTCTAAAATATATATTTAGGACTGACGTAATACGTACTTATTGTTGAATCTCATGGATCGAAATAGCTAAAAAAAAAAAATATATTTTTATAGAGAATTGTGTTGAGCTTAATACTTGCGACATTTTAACAAGCATAACAAATGTTGACTACCAAACCAAAACACTGAACAATTTGGCAACGTAACCAAAACAATAATATTTTTTATTCACTTTCTTAACCGCATATACAGTTGGAATTTGACCTTGAAAAATAGAAACAAATTCTTTCCGATTTTATCGCATACATTTTTGTAAAGATCCATCATAAACAAAAACTAGTAATAGGCGGAATATAAAAATAAATCTCTGCAATAATGCAAATAAACATAAATTTTACAACGAGCCTTGATTTATTTTTTGTTGTTCCAGATCCTCCAGACCTGAACTGACAAAATGACTGGAACGCTTTTCAGTGAAAATTCAAAGTGAATGTGAAAAATGTCTAGTGACACTGATGCGGCTAAGCAAAAGGGGCACTCGTCAGGAACCGTTAAGAAAAAACACAGATCCAGATCCAGTCCTAGATCAAAAAATGATCTGGATAAACCGAGAAAGAAAAGGAATCTTAGTGCAGCTAACTCATTTGCATCCATTCCATATGCTATCAAATTGTCTATGTTAAATAGTGGATTGTTGCCGACCAGTAAGTTTAATGGTAAGTTGAAATAATTTATGTTCAATATTATTGATGTCTTAAGTATTTACTTACTCACCTAACCCTTTTCTAGTTTGTTATTCTGCTCACTTTATTTAATTTTGATGGTGGCAGCACTAATTTATTAGCTTTTAAGTGCTTTTTCATTATTATTCTAGTGTAGTTTTCTTACTTATTTTTCTATTTAAACCATTAGAAAAAACAAATTTATGTCCGTATCAATCATGCACAAAGAAACAGGCGAATATAAACTATTTTCTTGTTCCGAACTTTACCGTAACTTTGTTATCTTCGCCGGAAATTGGGAGATAATTCCATACGAACTTCTTGCTGGAGAATACCGGGAGTATTTTGATGTAGGAAACCGGAAATGGCAGCGCAGTCAAGAATAATGTGAATTTTTTGTGGTTTTTCTCTCGGACAGATTTCAATTCAAGTCACGGCCAAATTTATAGTCATGGCTTCCTTTTCCCTGGCATACTAAGCCAAGGAAGCCATGGGATTAGGATAAATTGTTCCAATAGATTTTTACATACATAAGGTATGTACACTGGTGGAACATTTTAGCATCTGTTGCTGATATTTTCGCAACAATATTTTGAATATTATGGCAAAAAAAAGGCATTAATTTGACTGGACTTAATTCAGAGGTATTAGGGCAGGAGATAAAATATTTGTCGAATTAGTTTTTATCTCTCTTGCGCAAATGAGGAGTAAACGAGTGAATTCCTGTTATCCTTATTAATTTTTAATCTATTTGACCGGGTAAATACGAAAAAGACCAAGCACGTTCTTTTGCTTTTTTTTTCGGGAAGAAAATAGAAAGCGACGATGATGCGATTGATTTTGTGTTAAAGAATCACCAGTGCTGAGCGGCTGAAAAGCCGAAACGACTTCCCCGCAATCGACAATCTACAATCACCTAATAAATAGGAAGATGTTTCTACCTACTTCTATACCTTCTGGATCCACTAATCTTCTTGTTCCTGGTTTTTCTTTTTCGCTGGGCGGAATTTTATCTATTGCCGGTTTTCTTAAGTGATCATTTCAAAACTTCAGGGCAACAATTTTGATCCATTTCAAATCGGATACTTCTAACTTCTAACCGGAACTCATTCACGCTGGTCAGAGTCAGGCAGAGCTTGCATTAAGCTGAGTATGTTTGCCTTGATACGGTATCTGCGTTCTTATGCAGTTTAGCAGAATGATGTTTGATTTGAAAATTGTACTGTTGTGACTTTTCCATCGAAAACTGACTCACCAGATTTTAGCCGTACTCTACTTTCACGTTCAAAATATCCTTTCCGCCCATAGCGACAACATCCGGTATCCTCTTTCAAGTTCCCCATTCAAAGTGATTTTAGTCGTAGGTAAACTCTAAACTCACGTTTAACATGTCCTCTTTTTCCGCAGCTCATTCACTGCCCTCTTCAAGTTAACTTGTCTGATTCTGATAAAAACCTTTCATATTTCTTCCAGAAATTTCTTCATTAAGTCTTTATTAATGTCTCCTATGCATTCTTTTTCTACTCGTATTGACACAGCAGCTCTAACCTTTGATTCGAGTATTCGAGCATTCTCTATACACCTACTGTATCTATAATTCCACTGCTGAAGTTTTCCGCAGCTCGCATTTGTGCCGTTGCTTTCAGGCTATCCAAATTCACTAGATGACGGATATCTATTTCAAATTCTTCTAAACTTTCCACGGCATTCTGTTTCCTTGCTCTTAGCTATAGGTACCTAGTAATGCTACTGATCCCCCTAACGGATCAACAAGCGTACCATAGTTTTGTTGAAAAGCTGGCAAGCGAGTCTTCAGCATTAGGTCTAAGGCAGGGTCACATAATGCTAATATCAAACCTGCTCTTGAAAATTATTGTAATAGGAAAATTGAATAATAGCATGTATCTATGATAATAATTAATCAAATAAGGCAAAATCAGATAAAGCCTTAATAGAAAAGAAAATGTGACTCGAGTTTGCAAAGAAAATTTGAGGTTATTAAGTTGTCTCACCTGTTGGAATAGGGTTTTATTTGCCACCAAAAATACTCTAATCCGTTGGATTGGTCGGGATTCGAGATCCTGGATAGAATTCGGTGGTCGCTAGGGCAGCTTTTTACTAATGATCAAATAGAGAAAGTCAGGCTCCCTTGTGGGAAAAAACGAACAAAGCAAAACTTACCGAAATAGTTTTCAAAAATCCGAAATCATCGGCGAAGTTATGGCACTTTACGAAAACGTAAAGCAACGTGAGGCAACTCAATGTACCATAAATTCAATTAATGAGAAAATTAGGTCCAAAATCCCCTCTAGGGCGAAGACAAAAATTACATTCTTCAAGAGAGACTCTTTTCTCGAAACAACCAAATTGTAAAAGGAAGATTCACCACAAGTAAGTAATTAGCTGTCCTAGATTTTAAGAATAGAGATGAGGCAGAGGAGACAAATGTCAAGAATAAATCGGTAAACTTTTAAGTACCTACCAAAAATTGCACACAACGATAAAATCAGAGAAAATGACAATAGCTGACAATTAATGATAACAACAACAAGTAGGTAATTAACCACTAGAACAATCATAATTTGAAGAATAAGACAATGAATAAACAATTCGTGTTGCAAAACGTAAACGCTAAAAAATGAAACGATGATCCCAAAAACATTACTGATGAAAGGCTAATTGACAAAAATGAACGACATTACTGCCGTCAGTTGGCACACCAATCATAAGTGACATGACTTAAGTGTCACTATAGAATAGAGAGCAACCCGGTGATTTATGGAACCGGATTCCGAAACATCTGGTATGGAGTTCAGCAACCGAACAGAGTACGTGCAGCTTGCAGTACCGTCTTCGTGAACGGACCACTATTTGGAAAACCTAAACCAAGAATAAGAAATATTTGATTTGTTCACATGAAAATTAAAATGGAATTAAAATATTGACTAAAATCGAGAAAAATCATTAGTCGTCAATGAAAACTACCCACAAGTGAAAATACAATTTAAATAATAAAGATTGGAAAATTTACAGGATCTGCAATCACTGTAATTATTGTTGAATTTTTATGAAGCAAAAATGTAATTAAAGCCTAATAAAATCAGGGAGAAATTAAATGTCTATAGGAATTTTGAATGGAAAAGTGAAAATAAGTGTGAAATAGTTAAAGGCAATATTGGCACGTTACTACACTCCAAGCTTCTTCACGTAGATTCCATGACAATTTTGAATATATTATCTAGCCAAACCAGGTATTTTTTGAGTCGAACTTGATTCTAAGAGATTACGGTTTGAATTCATTCTCGCTGTTCTGTCCTGTTCTTGATTTTCTTCTGATCCCCAATCTTCTTATGGCTGTAAAAGTGCTGCATGCCTGTTCTTTGTTTCTTCAAGTCTTCGATCTTCTTATTGTTGTTTTGAAAGTGCTGCAGGCCGACCCGGTTCTTCAAAAAGAATTCATAGACAAGAGATGCCACTCTTTTTCGGTGATGAAAAGTTAAAAAAATAATTAAAATAAAATCTAATGAAGATACTTGAGTTTGCAGGATTAGAAGTCGAAGTGCTTTGCAAATTAAGCCCTAACTCAGGATTAAACAATTCGGAGAGTAGAGGAGGGTTTTTTTTTGGGCGCCACCGACTCAGGACAGATGAGTCGGACTCTCCACGATTTTATCTGGCTCCAGGTCCTTACAATTCAGATAAGAAAAAAATATATTTCAAAGAAAAACACCCAGTATTCCTCCACAAGTATATCTTTATCAGATTTAAAAAACCCTACTAGTTTCGAAACTAGAAAGTTCCATCTTCAGGCAGGGGCGTCGCGTCGGGGGTGGGGGGGTAATGGGGGTAATTACCCCCCCCAGGATCCAAAATTCAAGGGAAAAATTACGATACCCAAAAGAAAATACATAATAATATTAAAGAAAATACATTTTTTTTTTGTTTTATTTTCCTCACAAAGCAAATTATTGTTCTGGAAAAGTGAATGATCTTGAAACTGGCAAAAAATTTCGCCAGCGGCGCGTTAGCGGGGGGTCGCATCTTCCCATTACCCCCCCCCCCCCCCAGACTGCAAGTCACGCGTCGCCACTGTCTTCAGGAAGGCTGGTGTTTGTTTACAATTTGGGTCATTCAATGACATTTACTGCCGCTTGGATTTGGAAATGGTGTAGTTTTAAACCGTTTATAATCAGGATGACGATTATCAGAAAAAAATGAATTTACCAAGTTAGACAATAATGAAATTTTACTCTTACATATCTCCACTTCATCCTCAAAATTCATTGGAACCTCCGGATAGATGATATTTTTCTCCCTTTCACAAATGAGATGACCTCGAAGTATTGAGATTTAGACTTCTCGATTTGCTAAATTCTTGGTGCAAATTCCTCTAATTGTGAGTTCTTAATCAGCTTCGTCTTTATAAGTATACTGGGTGTTTTTCTTTGAAGTTAAATTTCAACTCCACTTTGAGTCATGGACTACTTTTTCAATTTAATAAAATATATATTAAAGAAAAGCTAGAACTAGGCTGAGTGCATAAAACCAAATAAAAGTCGATATGAATCAAGTGCTATAGAGTCTGTTTATTGATTATAAAAATAATATTATAGTCACAATTTACCAATTTTGTGGTTATTGTCCACAAAGAAACAATAGAAGAATTAAAATAATAACAAAAAAAGATAAACAATTAAATATGCAACAATACCAATCAAGGAATGATTAGTATTATTCAAGCAATGACAATCAATGGAACTGTCATTAATTAATTAGGTTAGTGACCGTTTAATGAAGGGTCAATAAACAAATACAGTAATGTCTTTATTATAGGAATAGTCATGAACGATTAAATTAAGTGTAAAAATTGAGAATGTTATTGTAGCTTAATAATCAAATCAATAAAAAAAAAATAATGTAAAAATTGAAAATATAAAAAAAAGAAAAAAAAGAAAAAAAAAAGAATTAGTTGTCGGAGCGGTTACCTACCAGGA